GTCCATCAGCAGCAGGCCTACCGACTCTCACGCCCGTCCAACCGCCCTCATGCCGAGCCGCCCACAGTTCCATCACGCCTTCACGCCCTCACGCCCGCCAACAGGCTCACACCCACCCTCACGCCCGCCAACAGGCTCACACCCACCCTCACGCCCGTCCAACCGCCCTCATGCCCAGCCGCCCACAGGTCCATTACGCCTTCACGCCCTCACGCTCACCCACCCTCGCGCCCAGCCCGCCCACAGGCCCACCAGCACGCCCGGCCCGCCCGCCCACAGGCCCTCACGCCCTCCCACAGGCCCTCACGCCCACCCATAGGCCATCACACCCACAGGCCCACCCTCACGCCCCCACGCACGCCTCCCCCCGCCCACAGGCCCACCCACCCGCCCTCACACATGTACGTACGTATGTATTTGCGTATGTACATGTGTTAAAGTGGATGGACAGCGAGACAGATGGATGAGAAAATGTTTTTTTGGGTGGAATTTGTACAAAAGAGTAGATAGAGAGATGGATGGATGGATGAATGAACGTATGGATGAATGTTTGGACGGATGTAGGCATGTATTTGTTTATTTTTGAACGGATAGATAGAGGGACTGATGAATGAATGAATAAATGGATGGATGGATGACAGACTGATGGATGGATGGATGAATGGATGGGTGGATGGGTGGATGGATGGATGAATGAATGAATATGAAGTTGGTGGATGGATGGATGGAGGGGCTGGTGGATAGATGGATGTATGGAAGGATTGATGGGTAGTTGGTGGATGGATGGATGGAAAAATGGGTGGGTGGGTGAGTGGGTGGGTGGGTGGGTTGATGGAAGGATGGATGGATGGATAGATGAATGAACGTATGGATGAATGTTTGGACGGATGTATGCATGTATTTGTTTATTTGTGAACGGATCGATAGAGGGACTGATGAATGAATGAATAACTGGATGGATGGATGGATGGATGGACGGACGGACGGACCGACGGACGGATGGATGGATAGATAGATAGATGAATGAATGGATGAATGGATGAATGGATGGATGGATAAACATATGCATGGATGGCTGGATATATAGATGAATGGATGGATGGATGAATGAATGAATGAATGGATGTATGGATGAGTGGGTGGGTGGATGGATAGATAAATAGATAGATGAATGAATGGATGTATGTATGGGCGGATAGATGAATGAATGGATAGATGGATGAATGGATGGATGAATGAATAAATGGATGGATAGATGGATAGAGGAATAAATGGATGAATAAATGCATACATACATACAGGCAAGCGCATACAGATAAACAGCAAGACCTGTATTATATCTATTTTCTATCTAAACAAACATGACATTATACAAAAGATATTTTTTAAGAAATCAACACAAACATGGAGCAAAAATGAATAAATGAATAAATTAATAGATAAACATACAAATAAATGAATAATGCGAATAAGGGAATATTAATTTTAAAAAATCAGAAAATCATATCGTGGTTATGAAAAAAATATATATTCACGAATATTAAATAAACAAATAAACAGAATGACACATAAGTAGAAAAAAAATACTAATATAAAAAACGAAAACGTGATTCAACAAAAGAAAAAGAGAAAGAAAAGAAAAAAGAAAAAGGGGCACAAAAAAAGGAATAAAATAACACAAAGACCAAAGAAGAACAAATCTTAAAAAAGAAAGAAAAAAAACGAAATAAAGAGAAAGAAGAAAAAAGAGAAGCTACAGCAAATAAATACAATTCCAGAAAGAGACCCAAGAAAAAAAAACGCGAAATACCCGCCGAGCCCTTCGAACCTGACGCCCACAGGCCCCGACGGCCCGACCGCGGCGAGGAGGGTCCGCCCGCCCAAATATCCGGCCGGCGCAATTGTTTGTTTATGCGAATGCGTAAGCGTGTGCGTGCCCTCGTGCTGTATGTTTTCACGAGAAACATTTGCATCCAAACAGCTGTCCGGATAATTCGCGAGGCATCCATCCCGCTCCGAAGCCGCAACCCGAGCCACTCTCCGCCCTCGCCGCCGCCGCTCTCTGCCACGGTGGCGAGCAAGAAGAGGCTGATGCTGTCACGCCGCGTCAGCAAACACTTTCTCTCGTCATTTCGCAAAACGGTTCCCGCGCGAACTGATTTACATCCGTAGTTAATGAGATAATCGCTCTAAAGGGCACATTCCACGCGGGAGGGGGCGAGCGAGCCTGACCCTTCTGCAGGAAGGATGGAAGGACGGTCTTGGCTTGCCTCGAGATAAGGAGAGCCTGTCCACCCGCCAAATCCCTCGCGCTGAAAGATGAGATTAACATGTTAATGGCCCGGAGAAGGAGCTTTGCTTTGGCGAAATCAGTGCCTGCGGCCGAGGGGATTTTCGCGCCACGGGTGTCGGCGGCCGGCGGCTTAGGCCTATTCAACCGCGGTTCCGAGGCGGTTATTGGATAAATACGCAGTTAATGTGGCCTCCTAAAGATGCTACC